AAGGCCCTCTGCCTGGTTCCCTGTAACCTCACTTCTCGCAATATGGGAACCACCAGAAGGTCCTCAGAGCTGGACCTCAGTGTCAGGGCAGAACGATGGGGGTGGAAATGATGAATATGATTCTCAGGAGAGCAGGACTGATATGTAAAAAATGATGAAGGAAACATCCTTCCCTCCAAGTTCATAAAGTCTTCAGATGGTGACCTCTAACATGTCAAGAGAATTCTATGGACAAAACTCCTGAGGCTCCAGATGTCTCCAGGAGAGAGTCCATCAACACCCTGTATGATACACTGTTAGCCATAAACTCCACGTCTGGTGTTTCTCCGCACTTTGGTGACCTGTTCTAATAATTTACTTTTTCCCTAGTACGTCAGACATATGTTTGGTATATAATCTTCATTCCCCTCCTGTCAGTCATCAATATATTTTATTTAATACAGTCGAACTGAAAAATTTAATATGCTAACTAATATAAAGCAGGCTTTGCTAATCTTAAGAGACTACAAGCAGGATGCTGTGCAAATTTATATGCTACAGAAAGAGTTTAATACTGAACAGCTGAGTAATTTCCTGTACGATGGCACAATTTGGTCACGTGCTGAGTTTTCTCAGTGTCTGTTAAAATGAATAGAAGTGGAGGAAAGACAGCCTCTGGCCCACCTAAATCTAAACTTCTCAAAACTACATTTTTTCTCAAAAGAGCGGAAAAAAAGCTGTCATAAAAAATATCCAAATTGTGGCAAATGGTCTTGGAACACTATCATTGTAGCATCATTTAGAAGTGTGTCTGTACCTGATCATTCTCGGCAGAGGAAACCACTGGGGACCCCATGTTAGCTATTCTGTTCCTTCCTTGAAAATGCTCTGGGTAGAAATAGAACAAAAGGTGGTAGAATCTGAAAGCTGATAATAGGGGGAGGGCTGTGGCTCAATGGTAGATAATAATAATAAATTTATACCCTGCCCATCACTTTGGGTGGCTCCAAACAGGATATAAATAATAAAAATAAAAAGCGATAAGATATCAAACATTAAAAACTTCCCTAAACAGGGCTTCCTTCAGAAGTCTTCTAAAAGTCACATAGTTGTTTATTTCCTTGACAGCTGATGGGAGGGCGTTCCACAGGGAGGGTGCCACTGCTGAGAAGGCCCTCTGCCTGGTTCCCTGTAACTTCACTTTTCGCAAAGCTGGACCTCAGTGTCTGGGTTGAACGATGGGGGTGGAGACACTTCTTCAGGTATCCTGGGCCGAGGCTGTTTAGGGCTTTCAAGTTCAGCACCAACACTTGGAATTGTGCTTGGAAACGTACTAGGGGCCAATGTAGGTCTTTCCAGACCGGTGTTATGTGGTCCCAGAGGCCACTCCCAGTCACCAGTCTAGCTGCTGCATTCTGGATTAGTTGTATTTTCCGGGTTACCTTCAAAGGTAGCACCATGTAGAGCACATTGCAGTAGTCCAAGTGGGAGAAAACCAGAGCATGCACCACTCTGGCGAGACAGTCTGCAGGCAAGTAGGGTCTCAGCCAGCATACCAGATGGAGCTGGTAGACAACTGCCCTGGACACAGAATTAACCTGTGCTTCCATGGACAGCTGTGAGTCCAAAATTACTCCCAGGTTGTACACCTGGTCCTTCAGGGGTACAGTTACCCCATTCAGGACCAGGACCACACCTGCCCACCCCCTGTCCCCCTAAAAGAGTACTTCTGTTTTGTCAGGATTCAGCCTTAATCTGTTAGCTGCCATCCATCCTCCAACTGCCTCCGGACACACAGGACATTCACTGTAGACAAAAATGAGCAAGATAGATCAATGGTCTGATTCAGTATAAGGCAGGTTCTTATGTTCCTAATTCTTTAAAAAATAAAAAATAAAAATCTGACTATGATTTAGGGTGGAGAGAGAGAGATGAAGTCAGTAATCAAATCATCTTCCCTTTCTGTGGGAACAGAAACTGACGCGGAGCAATTAAAGGAGGCCATACATGGGGCAATTAATAGGCCATTCATCACTAATCCCTACCAGTCCTCCTCAGGTAGGGTTGCCATATGGCTGGAATTTCCTGGATGTAGCTGGTATTCAGCCCTCTTAAACAGTGTCCTGGCGGAAATCGCTTAAATGTCCTGGAAATTCTAGACGTATGGCAGTCAATGTTGAAAGTCAATAAAAATAGCTCAAAAACTTCTTCTTCGAGATTTTGCAACAACTTTTGTGTCGGCACTTTCACTTTTTGAAATATGGCAACTGTACCTCAGGTATCTGGACGCAGGTGGCACTGTGATCTAAACCACTGAGCCTCTTGGACTTGCTGATCAGAAGGTCAGCGGTTCGAATCCCCATGACAGGGTGAGCTCCCATTGCTCAGTCCCAGCTCCTGCCAACCTAGCAGTGCCAAAGCACGCCAAAAAGTGCAAGTAGATAAATAGGTACCTCTCCGGCAGGAAGGTAGACGGCGTTTCCATGCACTGCTTTGTTTTCGGTGTTCCGTTGCACTAGAAGCGCCTTAGTCGTGCTGGCCACATGACCCAGAAAAACTAACTGCGGACAAACACCGGCTCCCACGGCCTGTAAAGCGAAATGAGCGCCGCAACCCCAGAGTTGTCTGTGACTGGACTTAACTGTCAGGGGTCCTTTACCTTTACCTTTTACCTCAGGTAACTATAGAACAGGGTGAACCCACAAGGAAATAAACGTAATTCATACTGTGGCGAACCTCTGCTGAACCTTTCAGTAAACAGAATAGGAAGATCTTGGGAACAGGGAAGGGCACTGCTGAATAATATTGCACCATTTCCTGGAAATAGTTTGTAAGGTGAGCGGTCGCATAATGAGTTCACAATTTCCATTATTTCCTATGGAATGATTTATAATCCAGAATTTTTCAGATCTTTCATCTTACTTTTTCAGTGGTTTCTGCCTGAACCCAGCAAAAGAGAGCTAAAGGGGGTGGGGCTGATTTGTCCAATCTCTCCTGCTCTCAGATTTGCCTGATCTGCTTCCCTCTCTCCCTGAATGGTTTCTGCCCCAAAATTGTTGCTGCTAACCAGCAAAATAGAAACAACCAAGAAAATAAGGAAGTAAGCATACTCCTGGTGTTTGGATATCTGAATCTGTGGCAATTAAAGTGAATTTTTGTATAGCGAGAACTTGTGTGTACCTTGTATTCCTGGAAATAAAGTAATATTTCAAGAAGGAATTTGTGCCCATATCCTCATACAAGTGAACCCCAGCTGGAATCAGAAATAGAAAATGAATGTCTCCAGCTAAAGGCAGCATTTGCTAAAGGCCAGGCATTTTGCTGAAGGCCAAAACAGCTAAAATCATGGCATCCCCATGCCTAAATCTGTTAATAAAAACACACAAGTTTTTTAGTGTGTGCCACAGTATAGCAAAGTCCTCTGTTTCCAGGGGGCAACTGGTCCTCTGGAGCAATTCTGACTCCTAAACTAGCGAGAAACTCAAACCAAAGAGCCAGAATTTTCTCAGAAGACATTCCCCCCTGGCACACCCTCTCTAGAAAAAAGGTGCAGAATCTTATCTGAATATTCTGCAGCATTTTTGTGGCATATGCCATTTCTCCCACCACAAACCCCCTCCCCAAATGCCCCAAAATTGCATTAGGTGGGAGAGGAAATAAGCAACTAGAATAACTAGTTACAAGTTATTCTAATGTTTAGATGGGATGGAAACATTCCAGGGCAGGAGGCACAAAAAATGATAAGCGATAAGAGGCAAGCGGTATAATAGATCTATGTTGTACAAATCTTTGGGGGGGATAATCGTTTGTTCATGACAAATATTATATTTTTCTAGGATGGCCCTGTTTGTTTTATTCATAGAAGAGTGTAAGATGACATGAGGCATCTCCCTTCATGCCTTAAAGGCTAGCAAGTCCATCTGGGAGATAGAGAGAAGGAGGTTTAAGTGATTGCCAGAAACCCAGTTCAGACAAGCAGATGTAATAAACCACACCAAAGGGAGAATTAGGAAGCGAGAGAAGGGCAGAGAGGTGCCATCACACAAGCAAATCTGCAGAGATTAGGGGGAAACTCAGAAACGCCAGAGCGAATGGTGATAATGAGGAGGAGCTTGGATGCAGCAGCAAGCAAGAATGAATGAAAATTAGGTTGCCTGGGGGAGGAAAAGGGGCTTTGAACAGAGGAGTCGGCTTGTGAAATATAAATGCAAATGCCTAGGGCTTAAATTAAAGGAAATGCGAAAATACAACCTGGAGATCTGAAAGGGAAAGTGGAGCATCTGAATTTGGGCCAGCGCATATACAGCTGGGGATTTCCTTCCCTACTTTTTTAGGTGGAGAGTAGAAATAAAAAAAGGAATTGTAGAATACAAAGTGCTGCTACAGGTGCAGAAGTGGAGTAACGATGCTAAAGGAAGTCGCACTGATGCCTCATCGTAGAGCTGGGGCGGATCTGCACTCAATGTCTTTAATGCTGAGGAAGGGTTAAGGAATGGTTTTGATAATGTAGATGAACATATGACAGCCTACTTTTTACATTCATAATGTGTTATTACTTTGCCCTTTTTATCGCTTAATCCCACTGGGATGTTGTTATGCTGTAGTGGCTGATATCCCTTCAAAGGGGTTGTGTGCCTGATCTCCCTTTTAAAAAACAAGGAAAAAAAGAAGCCCAAATGTTATCCACTGTGTATAGTTTTGATGCTGGAATCTAAAATAACCGTAGACCGGGATAGCCAATGTGGCATCTTCCAGGTGTAGTTTGACTACACTTCCATTTTTGGGTTGTTGAATTAATTTTATTAGCATTTATAAAGAGAAATACAGAGCTTAATAACAAATAAACCATACTTTTCATTGTATAAGACTAGGATTTTTTTTTTCTTTAAAAGCTATGTTAAAAATTGGGGGTTGTCATATGGGGGTATGTTATACATGGAAAAATGCGGTATATATTTTTGGTCCAAAACTAAAACATTGATCTAAATAATTTTTTACTTTCTTAATCTCTTGTCTATTTCATCTTTCTTATTCCCCCCTTCTTTCCTGCTTTTCTTTCTCTCTCTTTATATATGAGAGAGAAAGAAAAGCAGGAAAGAAGGGGGGAATAAGAAAGATGAAATAGACAAGAGATTAAGAAAGTAAAAATAATGTTCAGAAATTAAAGAACTTTTGAATTTTCTTCTGACCACTGTCTATAAGCAATATTCACTTCAACCGCTCCAGTATAACACCCTATAAACAAACATTATCTTCCATTCCAGATGTAGTTTGACTACAGTACCCATGATCCTTTGACCATTGTCCATGATGCCAGGGGCTGAGGGGAGTTGGAGTCATCTGGAAGGAATCTGCCCTAGACACTTGGGCAAGAGGACCATGTTTTTATGGGCTCTGAGAAATCACTGATCTTCTGCTTATTTGTTTGATGCCCGACCTAGCGATGAAGCAGCATATCACAGAATCAGATCTTTTGTTTTCCCCCAATGCTTTATTGTTTATATTTGTACATATCCCAGAATCAGATCTTAACTGGGTGCATTCCTTTCACTCCCAATGGAGGCCCCGCACTTCCGAGATCAACAATAATAATCCTGGGCTGGTCCTGTATAAAAATACTCACTGGTGCAGGAATGCAATTATTCTATATCTACACATGGGAGATAGGATGTAAATCTTATTTATTACACTGCTGTTAATACTGGCAAACTTACTAGCTCAAGACAAACCAATCTATAGACCACAATTTCCAGATTCATTATATAAAACTGAATACACATGGGGAAATGTGGATGGGGCTTTGTTGTGTAAGGGTTTCTACTTGACCTAGGCATTTTGAAACTCTTTTTAAATCATAGCTGCTGCCCCTCCACTTCGTCCCCTCCATGTTGCAAGGGAAGATAGGTCATGTGTCCAGCCTAAACCCAGGTTTATTTATGATCATTTATTTCTGGGATTTATATCCTGAGGCTCAGCATCACAGATAACAGCTTACGAGTATAATGAGTCCACAGCATTGTAGTAAAACAAAGCTTCATAAAGCAGATTTACAGGAGTTCACCGACCATCACAAAAAAACTCCCAAATTTCAACACAAGCCAACAGCGAAGCACGACACAATGGTTCTAGAAACTGAGCTAGTAGCTCATCCATCCACTTCCAGAATAGCAAAAGTGGGTTGACAGGGAAATGTGTTCCGTGTTAAGAGCAAGACAGAAATGACTCTCATCCAACAGAGCGTGTGCAGAACAGCTGGAGTTGTACATGTGCAGCCCTTTAGAAAGAAAAAAACTGAAATCCTGCACATCAGCTTTTGGGTGAGAAATGGGGTATGAGGAAGGCTGGATCTAGGCACTTTGTTTCTCACCACCTGATGGCTGAATTCTCCACCCAGTTAGGATTACAGACACCCAGAATGGACAAGGGATGTGCACTTGGGAGAGCAGTTGTTTTAAAATTTCATTTTGGGGATTAAAATTATTCTTGGAATTTTATTTGTACAATGTTTTCTCCTTTTTTTGGTTAATTTCTATGTAGTTCATTCAGTTTTTGCATTTCGTTTTTTAAATTTGGCTGCTCCTGAGGAAACCTGGGGCTGTACTGCCCCAATGGTCCTTTGCGTGTGTATTGGAGGGGAGTGAACTGCCCCCCAAGCCAATTCATAATCTTCCTTTTCCACTTATGCAAGTTCAGATTCTTAGATTCGAAATGAAAACAAAATATGAATGAGAAATCCAAAAAAAGGTAATGTTTTAATTCAGAATTGGTTAATTTCAGAACCATTTCATTCTTGTTTATTAAATACAAATACAAACCAGGATCTTTCACTTTTCATATGCTTTTCAGATAAACCAAATAGACATCTCAAGAACAGAAGAAGAAGAAGAAGAAGAAGAAGAAGAAGAAGAAGAAGAAGAAGAGGAGGAGGAGGAGGAGGAGAGATATCCCGCCTTTCACTCCCTTTAAGGAGTCTCAAAGTGGCTAACAATCTCCTTTCCCTTCCTCCCCCACAACAAAGACTCTGTGAGGTGAGTGGGGCTGAGGGACTTCAGAGAAGTGTGACTGGCCCAAGGTCACCCAGCAGCTGCATGTGGAGGAGCGGAGACGCGAACCCGGTTCCCCAGATTACGAGACTACCGCTCTTAACCACTACACCACACTGGCTCCACAGATTAAATGTCTGCACCAAGCACAAGACTGGGTTCAGTACCGAACTTTGAACTTCAGAAAACAGCAAGTTTCAGGGGGGTCTGTGATTCAGTTCATGTCTAAATCCCAATTCAGAAAAATTAAAGTCCATGCCTTCTCCATTAACTATTATGGGGATTTTTTTTAATCAGCTATAACTTTCCCCCTTGTGGCATAATTAGATAGCTTTCAGGCACAGTAGCTGCTGCTCAATGGATAAAGCATGTCAGGTGTTTTTGTGCTGGGCACTATTTAAATTTTAGAAGAATAGCAGCAGTTTCCCCCCCTGAAAGGGCATCTTTCATAGATGGAGTGGTTGGGTGTGCCTAAAGATGACTCGATTAACCTCTTCTATTCTGTTGTGGACTATATACACATACACATACAAACACACACACACACACACACACACACACACGGAGAAGGAGAAGGAGAAGCTGCCAAATTACAAAGAGGCCCAAAGGTTTCTAGGATGGGCACCTTTACATATTGATTATTATTTTTAAAGGATCTATCTATAATTTAACAATTTTCAGCAGAAGTGAATGAAATTTGCAGTCATTTCTGTGGGGACGAAACTTGCCAAATTTCAGAAGTAGACCTGACATGTCCCATAAACGTGCTTTTTCCATTGTTATGTCATTAAAAAAAGAATCCATTGAATCTTTCATATTGTTTTGGGGCAATTTGTATGAAAATAGCATACATCCCACTTGGGTTTGGGATTGTGCAAATGCCACACACACACACACACACACCATTCCAGAACACAGCAAGTTAATTTCTCTGGAACACAATCTCCTGTACTGGGTGAACTGAGAGAACACACCCTTGTGTAAATTAATTGAAACAAACAATGAATTGAGTACAGTAGTTTATTGTACAAAACTCACATGTAGATGTACAAAATTCACATATACGTACATTAGTAAAGGATATGACCGCCGCTATTTTTAAGCAGCATTTGAACACAGTTTGACATGGAGTCTACTAGTTTTGAACAGTCACTGTTGATTTTCGGATCCCTGTACCACACTTGAATCAGCGCCTGAATGTGCTTCTCCATAGCCTTACAGTCTACAGCACAGAGACAACTTTTGCAAATAGCCCACAAATTCTCAATAGGATTTACATCCGGGGAATTCCCTGGCCAATCAAGTGCCTGTATTTGCTGCTCTGTCATGAATGTTTTCACCACTTTCAATGTGCGACAGGGGGCTAGGTCCTGCTACAATATCCCGGTACCGTCAGGATACCTCTTTTCCAGCTCTGGGATAACTCTCTTTCGTAGAACCTCAATATATTGTGGCGAGTGCATCATTCCTTCTATTGGCTGCAGGCTTCCAACACCATAATAACTGAAGTATCCCCAAAACATCTTCTTTTGTGGGTGCTTGACAGACTGATCGATGTGGCATAGAAAACATGCTTTGTTTCAATAAATTTGCACAAAGGTGTAGTGTCGTGCAAAATTCCTGCCCTGTCTAGTCCTGTCAGGTCTCAGGATTGCTGGACCTATAGCAGCCATTATAAATTATATCTAATAATATCTAATAATATTTTATTATTTGTACCCCTCCCATCTGGCTGGGCTTCCCCAGCCACTCTGGGCGGCTTCCAACAAAGATTAAAAATACATTAAAATGTCACACATTAAAAACTTTCCTGAACAGGGCTGCCTTCAGATGTCTTCTAAATGTCAGGTAGTTGTTTATCTCTTTGACATCCGATGGGAGGGTGTTCCACAGGGCGGATGCCACTACCGAAAAGGCCCTCTGCCTGGTTCCCTGTAGCTTTGCTTATCGCAGTGAGGGAACTGCCAGAAGGCCCTCGGCGTTGGACCTCGGTGTCTGGGCAGAATGATGGGGGAGGAGACGCTCCTTCAGGTATACTGGGCCAAGGCTGTTTAGGGCTTTAAAGGTCAACACCAACACTTTGAATTGTGCTCGGAAACATAGATATTGGCTTTCTTCTGTTAATCATTTGGTTACATGGGGTTTTCTGTTTACATTTATCAGCAATGCTAAAACACACCGAAAAACCAACAACAATTGGGCAGTGTTGCGCATGGACTGCACTTTGACTTGATGTTTAACGTCCTCAAAAATAGCCTTTAAATGAATTCTAAATTGGGTTCCCTTTTTTGCTTTTTAATGGCACTCTCAATCATTCGCAGTCCCTCCGGTGGGAAGGTGTTTTAAACCGTTCCACATTTTCTAAGGTTCTAGTTGATGTGAATGATTGAGTTAGATGGAAATTTCCAGCTAATAATAATACCATCTGCAAATAGACGAGAAAGGGGGACTAAAATGCATTCCAATGAATGGCCTTCGCTCTATTTAGATGGCATGAATTACTTACTGGCATATCATTCAACCTTTATGAGGACTCATTATGTTGGCTACCCCTTTCCATCTTTCAGTGTGTACACAGATGGTCCCGGCAATGTTTATTCCCCTTTCTTTAAGAGATGCATAAGGGGGAAATCTAATTAGGTTCCTCCTCCTTCTTCTTCTTCTTCTTCTTCTTCTTCTTCTTCTTCTTCTTCTTCTTCTTCTTGACTTGTGGTTGAAACAGGCATCCCTCCTGAACTTACTTTCTTCCTGTTTCACAGACAGCTGTGGCCTAGTTATGTCTCCTGGGCCAGACTAAATCACTGGCCTTGTTTTCCTGGGTATGTTATGTGGGTGATTCAGGAATGGTGTGCAGGATTCCTGCTTGAAATAATGAGAAAACGGAATCGAAGTAGTAAAACTGCATTTATAATTTAGTGAACTTGTTTATTTGCTTGAATTAAGTATATGGAATTTTCAAGCTGAGGAGTAGAGAGGGGAGAGAATCAGAATTCAGCTACAGGTTCTTAGCATTGTTTTGTCTTGCCTCCTGCAGAAGCTTTCAGATTCCCCCCCCCCTCTCTATACATAATTGCC